GATCCTAGGGCACGCGATTCGCCAGACCCTCCAGACCCTTCTCGCTAGGCCGGCACAAAGATGAGGGCGGGGGCGGGGAGGGATGGGGACGGAGGACCAGGCTAGGAAAGGGCCTTTAACCACCTCTCCGCAGTTTCCTCTGACTCACTAATCTGCCCAGTACTGAAGCTGAGCCGGGCCTGCATCCCACGCTTTGGGGCAGAGGCAGGGGTCCTTGGTCTCGAGCTCTAGCATCCATTATCCACCCTGCCCTCCATTAACGGCCCAGAGAGAAGCAGGAACCGTTTAACAGCCCTCTTCCAGCTCTCAAAGGAGTTTGATATAATTTAAACCCGGACCTGCCGTTCGTGTGGGCTTCAGACTCCCGCGCGCCGCCGCCTTTAACGTGGCAAACACTTCAGTCAATTATCCCCCTCGCGGAGCTTCTATTTAAAGAGACATTGTCAGGTTCTTAAGCCTCGGATCAGACCCGCTGCTTTCTGCTTCACATACAAAGACTCAAAACACGAGTTCTTTGAGGATTGGAAGAAATACAATTAATCAAAGCCTTCGCAACCGTTCCCCCCTGCGGGAGCACCCACGTGCAAGACCGGGAGCTGCGAGGCGGTGGGGGCGGGGGAAGTGCTAAGTCCTTTCCATTTCAGGCCTCTGAGAGTGAGAGGAAACAGGCTCAAGAGCCCAGTGCTGGGCTGGGCAAGGGGGGCGAGGGGGACGCGTGAGCGGGATGGGGGGAACGACCCCACATTGTCGATGAAGTTGAATCTTGGGTCTGCCTCCGGCTGAGGCAGAAGAAGCTGGTTCAAGGGACAACTAGCATTCCTCCCACCCCCAAACTATGCTTTCAATGTCTTGAGGCAGGAGTTTCTCCCCCTAAAAATTTAACCTCCAGACTCCTTCCCTCCCGTTCAGAAAGGCTCCGAAGCCCATCTCCAGGCTCCCCGTCTCCATCACCCCAACACAAGGGGAAGGGATACTTAGGTCATGTGGGGCATGACTGTCAGCATCACTGGGGTAGAGGGGGCGGGGGTTGGGGGGTGGGGGAGTGGGAGTGGGGGGGGGTAGGGAGCCTAGGCCTTTGTTCTACGGGACAACTCTTCTGCCTGCCTGGCTGAGTAGGGTGTGGGAAAACCCAGCAAGGGGAAGGAAACCCGGCAGGAGCCTGAAAGACGCAGGAGTGCGCCTTAGCGCTCAGGGAAGGGGGTCCAGCTGGAAAGCTGTAGCCTATGGATCCAGTCTTCTACTCCTCACTTCCATGACTGGAATGGCAGGCCTTTAGAAAAGGTGAGAAGACTCCGGCAGGGAATACCAACAAGCACAAAAAAGAAATAAGATAGGGGTCCGTTTCGGAGAGAGGTCTGAGGGAGGTCTCACCTTGGCAGTAGGGACAGGTGCTAGGATCTGGGGGTGGGGAACTGCCAAGAAAGTGAGGGACCTGGGAAAAAGAAACCCCAGTGGAGTAGAGAGGGGAAGGTGGGGGGGAGCAGGGCTCGGCCTCGAGGCTGTTTACTGCTGAGCGTGCAGCACCACGGCCTCCGTGCCCGCCTGCCAAGGCTGAGGCCCAGGCACCGAATGGGGCAGAGCGTTGGGCTCTAATTCTGGGCCGCTCTCAGGCCCAGGTGCTTCCCCGACCAGGCTGGGGATGTCTGGAGCTGTAGAGCGTCGGCGCAAACCCGAGCGGCCAGAGCCGGGGCCGCCCTCGGGGTGGGGGCTAAGGCCGACGGGGGCTTGCACTAAGGTTGGGGGCGCTCCCTCCAGCACCTCCTGCGAACGCCACCGCCCAACGCCTGAAGACTGGGGCGAGTGTGGTTGTGCCATCAGGGCTCCCGCCCGCAGTCGAGCCGCCTCCTCCTCGGTCACGGCACCCAACGCCAGGCTCATGCTCCGGCCCAGCTCCGGCCGCTCGCTGCCCTGCGCCCGGTGCCGACCGAAGCCCTTACCCCCTGAGCCAGCCTCGCCGCCGTGACCATGGGCGCCGGCCGCTCGAGCAAAGCGCGCCAGGAGCGGCCGCGGTAGGCGGCGGGGACTGGGTCTTCGGCGCTCCGGGCTGGGCGCGGGAGCCGGACGGCCAGGGGGGCTGTCGGAGTTGGAGCCCCGGGCCGCGGCGGCGGCGGCTGCGCGGCCCCAGGGCCCGGTGAGGGCCTGCACACAGGTCCCGTGGCCGCGGGCGGCGGCCAGTTGCAACGCCGTGAGGCCCGCCCGGTTGGTGCGGTCGAGGCGCAGGCCGAGGCGGCGGAAAGAGCGCACCAGGAACTCGAGCACCGCCCCGTGGCCGCACGCTGCCGCCCACATCACCGGGCTATTGCCCGCCGAGTCGGCCGCCTCGGGGTCGCCGCTGAACTGCACCAGCAGTTGCACGGCGTCCAGGTGGCCACGCTCGCACGCCAGGCTGAGCGCCGTGCGGCCGCGCTCGTCCCGCAGGTTCACTGCTGCACCCTGCTCCAGCAGTAGTCGCACAAAGCGCGCGCGCAGCGCGGGGTCTGGCAAGCCCACGGCCACCATGAGCGGCGTGCGGCCCTGCTCCGCGCGGCAGTCGATGATGCTGCGGTCCAGCGCATCCAGCACAAAGCGGGCCAGGTGCACTTTGCCCGCCTGCATGGCCTCCAGGAAGGTACGCGTACCCGCTCGGGGGCACAGGTCCTTGGGCTTGAGCATGGCCTCGGCCGCCGCGCCCAGGCGGCCCGGCAGCTCCGCACGGGGGCGCCCCTGTTTCTGAGCCCCGCCGGGCTCCGGCTCCCGCCGGCGCTCGGGTATGGCTCCCTCCGCGCGTGGGCGGCTGCGGCCGAGGGTCCTGAGGTTCCCACTCTGTCCTCCAGCTGCCCCGCCGCTCCTGGGCCGCACGCCCGGCGTCTCGCTGCTCCTTCCCTGGGCTTCCCGCCTGATGGTGTAGGTTGCTCTCTACTCCGGGCTCCGCGCCTGGCCCGCCACAAGACGACGGGAGCCGAAGTTCGGGCCCCTCCTGACTCTCCCGCTGCTTTCCCAGTGTCCGGCGCCCCTCAGTCCGTCGTGGCTGGGAGCCGCGCCACTCACCCACACCCGGGGCAGCACCGCTCCCCTGCTGAGACGGTGGCGCCCGCCGTGCGCGCCTGCCTCTAGCCCTGGCGGGGCGCGCCGCTCCTCAATCTCCCGGCGCCGCTCCTCCGCCTCCTCCCCTCTCGCGGGGGCCGGGCCACGCCAGGGCGCTTGCTCCTTACTTGGGGGGCTTGGCGGCGCGGGAGTCGCCGCCCGCATAGATACCTGGTTTTATAGTCTCGGGGGTCTGCATGGCAACGGCTACTCAGGAAGCGGGCTGAGCCGTCAGGGCCGAAACTGACGGGGCGGCGGAGACCGCCCCTGACCTTCACCCACCTCTCGGTGGGCCACGACGTCGGGGAGCAGCTTCTCCTCCGCGCTTCCCTGGGGCTGCGGCAGCGGGGACGGGGCGGGGGCTGCTCGCAGGGGGCCACATGCACCCGACCGGGCCAATCCCAAAGTCACAGTCTTCTCTCCCCACCCTCCGCCCCCACCGGAGTCGGTGCCCGGGGCTCCATAGAAACTGGCGGGACCCTGAGCCCGTCGAAAAAGACGAGGGCTGCCCCCATCGGTGCAGCTGGAAGGAAATGGGACCCCATGAGGGCAGAACTGGACCACAAGCGCGCTGGGGGTGGTGGCGAAAGGCGGGCGGGGAGTAAATCACTCCCCAAATCGGGGGCGGGGGAGTACCTACGCTGCGCGGGGTTGGGGGCTCTCAGTCTGGCTGGGAACCGCCACTGGAAGTGTAGCGAATCACGCACGCACACACAATTGTTCCTCCCGCACACGCTGATTCGGCGCGGGGGTGGCGGTGGGGGAGTGCGCGCTCGTATCTCGGACGTCTCCATCCGAGACAACGCGCCCGCCTGCCAGCTCCCGGCGGCTGAGAAGCTGGCGGTGCGGAGACGCGGCGACTGGAGCGGGCGCCTTAAGATCCGGGAGTACTGCAGCCCCGTTAGCAACTCCTCGGCGCCGCCTCCCCGCTGTTTCAGGACCCATCGCCACCCCGGAAAGAGCGAGGGACATGCAAAGCTCCCCCAGGGTCCCCATCTCCCTCTTGAGCACAAAACCACCCCCAGACCACAGGGCTCTGACCTTGACCACTAGCTGAACCCTTCCGAGATAAGAAGAGAGCACGAGTCAACAGAGTGTGAGAAAACTACCGGATCCCCTCTCCCTCCGGCCCGCTGCTCCGCCCTGGGGGGGTGGGG